ATTATTTTGTTACACAGTATAATTTCAAGATCGTCACTATGGGACAAATGTGATAAAGAGAAATTCCATCATGCTGCATCGCGTTGAGTTTTTTACAGAAAAAGATTATCAGAGAGGTCGGCGTGGTCGTAAGATGTCTCAGGTTCTTACTCGACGATTGATAAACTTTGAAAGAATTATGTGTGGAAAAATAAAGCCTCTCTATTGTTCAAAGATGGTATATCTCAGATTAGAAGGTTTAAACATCTCAGATGCATTTATCAGTGCAATTTTGCATTCATGTCTGGATATACACACTTTCGTTCTTGATAGAAGTAAGGGTTTCTCTAACATACCAATTATAGAAATTGCGAGATATTGTCCAAAGCTATTACATCTGAGTCTTAATTCATGTATATGCCTTACTAATCGATGTATCACTGAAATAGCGCGTTCTTGCCCAAAACTTAGATATCTTGAGCTTGGTGATTGCTCGATTAATAATAAAGCTGTTGAGGAAATAGCCCGCAACTGTGCTAGTTTGAAATATCTTAGTTTGGAAGGATGTAATGGGATTAGCGAAGAAGTGGTGAAAAAACTTAATTCTAAAATTAAAATCGAACATCCAGATTATTCCGATGATGAATTTTCAGATTCTGATCTACCTCCACTTATTCCAGATCCATTGAGGGTATTAGATCCACCGGTAAAGATAACGCTTCGAGATACTATAACAGATCTTATTTCTGTAATTAGAGTATCATCAGAATTGACCGATTCAGAACGAACTAATTTATTAAATAGTCTTGCTTGAGCCATTAATCAATGATTATATCAGAGAGACTGGTGGGATTATTCTGACTATAGAAGAATGGAGCGGGTAATCAGATATTTGACAGTCTCTGGCTAATTTCAGACAAAGAATTTTTATTTGCTGTGGTGTATATATATCTGTGACAATTTTCCTTGCTTTACTTTTGATTCTAGACATGGGCACTGATTAACGCTAGCCGTTTTTTGACAAAAACTTCATGTAATTGCTCAGGAGAGACATTCGGAAATAATGGTAGTCCCTCACCAGTAGACCAAAATTTCTTTACCCCCATATCAGCGAATTTCTTTATTAGGATACCTAGATCATCTTCTAAGGGGCCGTGGAATTTCTCAAACCTTTGGAGGTACACTCTCGCATTTTTATCGGCTTCTTCTGCTATTTCTTGATTAGTATGACCGACAATACCAAGTTCTTCCTGAATTGTGTTTATATCCTCTTCCAAGTATAAAAGCAAACTAAATAATTTCGAAAGTGATAAATTGGAAGAGCCCCTATTGTTTTGATTTGCTACATTATTATATTCCACTGCCAGAATGGAATTGTCACCAATATCGAGATTTTTCTGTATCGGTATTAAATCTCCCACCAAATGTAATAACAACTTATATGAATCAGCAAGTGTTTTCTTGTCGGGCTCGTGTTCTATTTGTTCCAATGCATTACTGTTAGCCATGCTAGCTTTCCAGCTAATACCAAGTTTTTCTATTGTGGAACAATGAGGCTCTGCCTCTTGAATTGCTATTATATCCTTCCTCCTATATAAAAGCACCTCATATAAATGAGCAAATGTTTCGCTTTGATCAGATTTATTATTAGTGTTACTTATCATATTTGTTATAATAAAATAATATAGTTAATACAGAAAATATCACGTAAATGTACAAATTTAGCAGAGAAAGCACAAGGTGTTAAAATATCTCGGAGAAAAATAGATTATATATCCGATAATTCAGATTAATTTTTGGAATGTGGATTATTTTTGACGCAAACAGATAATGGTGCTTTGTAGTAGAGACTAAGTAATTAATTCCAATTTTATTTTTTTTTTTTGCTCAAAGATAGTGTATAATAACCAAAATGTTGTTTGTAAATTGCCCAGTCAAAGAAAAATCTCCTATTGAAACATTAATTGATACAGGCGCTAACACAGATTTAATTACCCAAAAATTCATTAACAAGTTGGGTTTAGTACATTATGTAAATGAAAGCAATTGTCCCGAATTACAAACTCCTGATGGATCATTTTCTGTATTAGGAAAGGTTGAACTGCAAACTAGTTTTAGCAGAGCTAGTTCCACTAATGTTGATGGGAAGCACATAAGTACCGATCCCGTTGAATTCTTGGTTGTTGGACCAGATTGGCATGGACCTGATTTAATGTTAGGAAAACCATGGTTGCAAAAAATGGCACAACGATTGATATGTGTAATAGCCAACTTATCTTACATGATAATTTTGCGATTCCAATTGTGGAGAAATCCGAAACTGAGACAGACTCTTCCGATCCAGATCACCCATAGAGAATAAATCATGACAAATGTGTGTTTTTCTCCAAATGATGTCAAGATCGCCCATATAAAAATGTTTACTGAGATCGTCCATAGAAAAAAATAAGCATAATTATAATATTTTAACCTCTACAACTGGGTATTAATTATTCCAATAATAAAATGGTTAGTGCAGTATCATCATCTTGACATGTGTAAAAATATCCGAATGAAAACGAGGGTGTAGATTACGCAAGTTAATTGTTATAATGGATTCTAACTTTATTCCTATTAGATTGATTAATATAATCACAAATCAAAGCTGACTATATTTCATCATTAATTGTTGTTTGAATAAACCTTATTACTGAATAAAAATTTCTAGCAGGTTCGATGACTTTCTTTATAATGCTACGCATGGATATATCTTTAATGTGAAGACAGTTCTATTGGTAAAAAAAAACATGATATATTTCTTAGTGAGTATTATAAATACGCCTTGAATCCATTTTTGCCACTCTTTACTTCCTCATTATAATATTCAAAAATTAAAACAAAGTTTAAAAACAGACTTTAAAACGTAATCAAAATAAACAAAATCTAACAAATATTATACATATTCTAATTTTTAACCAAAGGTATGATATTCCGGAATAAAAACATTTATTTACCTAAGCACTGATAATTTTTCTTTTTGACATCGTATATTCCCACATATGTTAATTTTTTTTTTTCCATAGATGTCTCAAATTAATGTTTTGGATATATTACCTTTATTGTCCTTGATTGCTATTCTCACGTGGTTTTCTATTAGTTCTATCAAGAATTATTTTAATGGGATTTAACCACCCATGATGCTAATATCTTAAATTTCATCAGGCAACAATTTACTGAAGAAAACATCTTATATGATTCTAAGCTCACTGAGGACTTGCTAAACTGAATGCCGAACTTAATGCACGTGATGCTAACTTCACTGCGGAGGTGCAGAGAATCTTGTTGTTGATTAATTCTTTTACCACGAGACTTGATGAAATTGAACAAGTTCTTGAACGCTACAATAATCACTTTGGTAGAATTTCATCCGAATTTGATTCAATTAATGAATCTATCACAACATTCCAACCTCTATTTAATCAACATCATGCAATCATCCAAAGAATCGAACAAGATCAGCAAAGTGAAACGAACCTATCTGAAGATTCTTCCAATTCACACAATTCCTCTATTAATTCTTCTTATTCTCCTAATTCCTCTGCTAGTTCTTCAAGCCAGCAATCATTTTCAGGAATTACATTAACTATCTGGACTCGCTTTAAACAGATCTTTGATAGGGATATGGCTCAGAGAAGATATACTTTTGACAAAATGTGTTATTCCGTAGCCATGCGCATTCGTGAACTTGGAGGAGATATTAGGTAATCAACGATCAAAAACTTTTATAATAGAAGTGGTAGTTGTAAATCAAGTATCATGGACCAAATTGGTTCATGGATAGATAGTATGGAGTAGCGGGAAGGAACTCTCATTTTATGGGTTAGGGCTCGAGTACTTCCTCCCTTTAAACTCGCTACTCTATCATTTTATATTGTATTAGTTTAGTCCATTGCCCTGATCTTCTGCGATCCGCATTTAAATGTATACTTACCTCCAATAAATTCCCTGGCCATAACTTCTTCGTGAAAATTGGAAGGAAGTCTGTAAATATATTTTACAGGATCTTTCTTAAACGCAGGTATGAAATAGTTGAGTGTCTTTTCCATATTTTTTCTAATCATATAGCAAAAGAAGAAATTCAAATTTGATACTCTATCCGCATAGTCAATCAGATAATCTGTTGTACTCATGGGGCTGTGTAACAAAAATTATGTGTCTCTGACACTAGCTCTGCTATTTTTAGATTCTCAATACACAGAAAAATAATGCATGCATGATTTATTTGTGCGATTAACCAAATTCGATTAATTACCTCATGTACATATATACTTTTTCAATTATTTTTTAGAACCTGAATTAATTAGATTATCATACCCGATTTCAGACTCCAAAATGTAACAAACATGACTATTGTCAACAAGTGTTCACAATCAACTTCAGGTTGCATTTTTGGAAATGTTAGCGGAGAATATATATTAGTAATATATATTCACGGATACCATGAATACCGTTAAGGGGATTACACACTAATAAATCAGCAAAAAATCCCTTAAAAACACTTGATTTTAATAGTGTGTAACCCCGTGTGACCTCCTTAATAATAAACCAAATAATAGTGATGATGATGATGATAATAACAATAATAATAATATTAATAATAATAATAACAGTAATAATATACCAATAAACCATGTCAACAGCCTCAGCTTCTACATCTACTGCAGACACCATGCTGGCCAAAACATTGGAAGGTAAGTTTGTACTCTCTCCACACATTTTGTTTTGGGATTTCAGCCTTTCTTAGTGATTAAAGTTTCTTCTTGTTAGGAATCTCAGTAAAAGATCCAGACTATTTCACAACTAATCACTACTGGTCTTTGTTGGGTTTTTTACTCTATCACCAACAATGCAGTGATTTTCTGCCCAATAAAGGCGAAGAGCATCATCGATATTCCCTGAACCTTACAAATATAATGAGTTGTGAAGAAATACCAGTACATTTATTGAGATGGGCTGGCAGAGCAATTGGCTCAATGCAAGTTAAGTATTTTTTCATGCCCCATTGCAATTGAAAATACATTCTGATTTAGCAGTGGATGGGTCTGAAGAGTGTATAACCTTTTGGATGGGGTTGAGGCCTGTGTTCAATCACCCAACACTCTTGGTTGAGGCTGGGAAGTGCATGAGTTGAGGCTTGTGGTGGTTCCATCCTGTGTGAATGGCTTTTCCTATCTGGTTGTAAGTGGACGGGTCTAAAGGATGATTGCCTTTGGATGGGGTTGAGGCCTGCATTCAATCGCCCAACACTCTTGGTTGAGGCCGGGAAGTGCATGAGTTGAGGCTCGGGTGGTTCCATCCTTGCAACTGGAGTTGCATTAGTTGTGGCTTGTAGTATAGTATTTGGTGAACTTGTCTTTCACAAACTAAAAAATATTATATTGTTAATAGAAGGAAAAGAAAACACAGCTAGTAAACGAATTCTGGGAGAGTGCTACATCGGTGCAAAGGAGGAAGTTGGGAGCTATAGCTGAATGCGAAGCTTTGTTGGTATGGAGCATTTGATCTGTAATATACCAAGATGTATGATATGGAAACATTAACCCTGTTCATTTCATAGGAGGAACATACTACAAACACTGTGTACTCTACATATAGACAAGGACAGATTGTACAGGAGAAGCTTGCAAGACGTTTAGAGGATACTGACCTGGGCCTTCAAAAAAAGGTATATAATAAATCAATAAACAGCGTGATAATTCATTATGTTTTGTAATAAGAACTATAATTTAATACTTTAGGATGACCAGACTAATCATCCTCCTACAAAACGAACAAGAATAGAAGATTTTTTCCCCATGCATGACGTTCCTCATCTTCAACAGGCACATACTCCTGATGAAGAAGAAGAGATTTCTCTTTATGATACTTTTCCGGTTCACATTTATAAACAACCTGTACCAAATCCTTTTCTAGTTGGAAATAAGCATGATCATGATATAGACGAAGAGGATGATGAATTCAATGCAGATTTAACTATTGTCAGTGGAAAAAGTATTGATTGGATTATTAGTGGAATTAATATCAGAGAAAAGTTGGCAAAATATCAGCTTGATGTAAATCCACCTAAAACCAATCCAGAATATTACAACATTATTTTTTTCAATTTAAATGATGAAGACGGTTTCCTAGGAATGTTAGATAAAGGTATTGTTGCGCAGATGCGTAAGGAAATAAGGAGGCCAGAAGTAGACACAAATGATAATATGAACCAAGAGATTAAGTCATTTCTGAAAAGTATTGTTGATCGCGATATTAAGAAGACTAAAGAAAATCTTAATCATTGAAATGCTAAAAAAATTGATTCATTTGAAAAGAGGTTTGTGTTACATTTTGTAAGCCATATGTAAGTATATTTATTTGATTATTTGATTCATCAAGAAGTGTGATAAGGCTAATGAAACTAACCTTATATAGGGCAAAAGTGATGGAAGATGTGAATTTGTTTTATGATCCTATGTCCAAGGGAACCTATATCATAAACGTTCTAGCACCCATTCTTGATTACTTCTTTAACAAAAATAAAAAAGATTGGCTTGTTTCATATGGAGAAACATGCCTCAAGGCATGTGCACAAGATGTTAATCATCAGGAAACTTTTCCCGCCGTAATATTACATCCGTAAGTTTTAATATGAAATGTCGTAATATTTCACATAAAAAGGATGTAATATTTACACTGAATG